TACTCATTTAATTTTTGAATCATTTCCAGTGGGATCTGAAAACAAGTAAAAACTTGAGTAGTCGAAAAATTGCCGGAAATTCAAAAAATAATTAAATGAAAATAGTGTAAGTAATTAATTTATTTATCGTATAGGTGTCTATCTATAAAAACAAAGGGTGTCTAAAGCGTTTTTTAACAGACAAGGTATTCGTGATTTGCATTTTTTATACGTATTCGAACTTTTAGAAAACAATTTGAAAAAATAAAGAATGTACAATTTACATTCACTACATATTCTTTTACGCTTTGCTGTGGCATATTGGGTAATAATTAATCGAATAAAAATATTTAATGTCATCTGGGTCGAGTTTATATTTTGAAAGATTTAGGCATTTATTTTGACGATAAGCTCTTATTTTCAAGTAAAATTTAAAAAAATATTTTAATGTACATTAGGTTAATAATTAATTATTCGTTTTATAAGACTCCTGAACATACTTCTACCTAAAAATGTACGTGCCGGTTATACACACAGTAATGTTACCTTCAAGTAAAACTTTATATAATAAAATAATGCAGTCACATTATATCTAAATACCGTAATACAATGCATTCCATTGCACAATACATATACTTAAAGTGATTTTCTTTCTCTTAAAAGTATGTAGGTACATATTAAACCGATAGGTATTAGTAGGTAAAAAAGAAAAGATTTTTTAATTATGTACATTAAAAAAAAACAATTTAGCTGTACTTGATATGTAATATTCGTGTTTTATTCGTTAATTGATTTACTATTATTATTAATTATAAATTGCGATTAGAAATGAAAGTCTATTTTTAAAACATTATACCTACTTATAATAACCTGACAGGTGAAGGGATAAAATGTTACATATTCACGCCCAGTAAAAAAAACGTTTTCTTTATTGAATATATATTTTGGTAAATACCCTGGATTAGAATAGCCCCACTACTTGGTCTGAGTGTGCCGTTACAAGGCTACTGTAAGAATGTCTTAGGGTAACTATTAAAACAAGTTCATGGTCTCTTTTACTATTTTATTATTTATTACGAGATTTTTTATTTCTTTAAGCTTACGATGAGAGAAATTGTGAAAGAAATTTGGAACAAACAATTATTGACGACGGAATTAAAAAGGAAAGACCAAAGAACTTATAAAATATGTGTTAATAGTTTATTACTACGAAATGTGAAAGTTGACTTCAAAGAGAGGTACGCATGTTTTTATTAAAAGCTACATTACTTATTACGAATTAGAATTATTCTAGTATCAACTAATATTTTTTTAATTTACTTCTGAGATATGTATAATGTTTTTAANTATAAGGAGAAAAATGGGGAGTAAGAGTATCAAAAAACTTGACTATCTTTATCCTCGCCGTTTTATTGTTAATTTGCGGTACTTGAACCATATTTGTTTGTGTGTTGTTTTTGTTATCGTGATGCAGTATTTAATCTTATTTTTATTATCGTGGCGCATCCGGGTTCGAGGTGTGTACTGCACGGTGCGTTGTGCATTTTATACATGCTTATGCACGTGTGTGCTATATCTCACATTAGTTTTATCTTGTATTGTAAGTTCCCGCATTATGAACTTTTTTTTTCATGCTTTGCGCGTGAAATTCGGTTTCAATGCGGTACTTGTAGTCTCGCTTCATTCACCTCAGGTACCAGGATACACCTGGAATTACATTTCATTGCACCTTATTCATTGATACTTCCTTTGTTTGCTTCCTCTGCTAAACAATAAGGTTTCTTTTTTTTATGTTAAAAGACATCTTTCACAAGCATTACAAATTTACAGACGCGGATGTAACATAAAAATTTAGGAATCGTACTTGTATGGATCAAAAGCGAATTTAGAAGTTTTTTTTTGTAATCTTCAGCCTTTAATCTATTGAAGATTACAGATTAATAAATAACATTTCGTCCCTTTGGTCGCTTTTAATTGAAATGGTTCTAAATTGTATTTATATTTAGTAGTATCTACGTAACAGTGCAAGGAGACCAAACAATAATTTCAATGCATAATTCGTTAGGAATTTAAGGTACAGGATATCCAATTTCCAGCACTTTTCGGGGTACCTTCCTTATGTTTGAAGGTAGATGATTCCGGTTTTCGCAACAGTTTTGTGAAAATTTGATACGTACACATATTTTTATAAGTTAATCGATTTCTTTAATAAATTTAATAGGCAATATTATAAAAATGATAGGAGTAATGAAGTTTCTAATTTTGAATCTGATTTGGGAGATGGGGGTTGTAATCCCGTATCTAGCTTTTTTTAGATTTATTAAAGTATGCGCTGGGATATTTTCAATTCCATATCGTGTAACATTTCTAAAACAGTTGATAATTTCGAGGGATAAAGACAAAATTGAATGACCTATATATTTCTGAAAGGGTACTTGGAGAGTGTTTATCTACCCTCTATTGTAACAGTAACCAGTTAAGATTTTATTGAACCAAAGAGGGGCGTAGTTAATGTTGTATTAAAATAGATTCGCCTTAGATGTTTTTTGTAAAGATGTAGCTGTATGAAAGAGCAGATAAATCTCACATAACCGGATATGGTAGATACTAGCTTAGCCACTGACTAGTCGCGAATTAAATTTGGCTCCATTCAGTATGGTGCAAATTCACAACTATGTATATTACGTCATAAAAATATACATAACAATCGAATGGAAACTTGTTGGCGACTAAATTCCGTTAGTTTTTGCGTTTATGTTGACCAAATGGATACATAACTAACAAACGGACGGACGCACGCACGTTAGTATAAATATTAAAGGAATTGAAGACAATAAGTAATACGATGGCGATGGCCCGAAATTGTATTCTTTGCGAAATTTTAAGTATAATGTATGTGGGTCAATGTAGAATATCACTCTACATGTGGGGCCCTCCTACCCCCACGACCCGCTAATAGGAACGGCAAAATGTTCACAGTCGCCATTGTCCAGATTAGTTAATTATTTACAAATTCGCGCCTTTTTGAAATCCACGAAACAATTTTTTCATTCCGGATTCGTCAGCTATGCTCCAAGTTTTTCCGTGGATCACTTGGGCTAATGCTGGGGCAGTAACAGTATTCTGCATGTCGTTTTTCTCTTTTCTTCTGTCTTAATTTCATCCACCCACCCATGCACACCAAACTGGACAATATCTTCAATATTATAGGAGATTTCAAACAGTTTTTAGAACAGCGGCCGAAATATATATGTATAATGGTCTAATGTATTGTGAGAAACCATCCCTATCACACCGTCACTACGTAATGGTTTTCGAACATATCAGAAAGTTCTCTACTCTTCCAATCTAGTTTTATTTTTTTATCTAGTAGAAGTTGAGAATTACATTCTTATTTATTCTAAACACCCTCGCCGCGTTCCCTGGAGATGACAACCAGCGAAACGTCGGATATACAACTATCGTCGGTCTCATCCAAGGAGAAATAATTCGAGATATAGATAAAGTCCGAATATAATGCATTATTCAAATATTTTTTAAAACACTGATCGAAATATGACAATGCTGTAGATCTTCTTCCAATTTTATCGTATGAATTGTAAATAAATAGTTTAAAGAACGTCAAGAACGAACTTTAAACTACAAATGCTGGAGTGCAGGTCTGGGCTTGTATGAATGATTCATTTTACCCGACGCCAGAAAAATTATGTTGCATGTTTTGAGGTCGCTGCGATTTTCTAATCGCAAGTGTGCTCATTTTCGTTAAAAAATGCTCGTTTTATCTTGTGACTAAACAACCGATTGAGTAAAAATCGCAAGTGCGCACCTAGCCCATATCTTTGAATTATAATGTACTACTACTAGGAATTATTAGATATTAGATTTATTATTCTGTTTGTCCATTGGAATATCAGTTACTTAAAGAAGTTTTGGCTACAGTTCCTAAAACTAGAACCCTCTGATTGGATTCAAATTTTTATCAGGCACTGCATTATACACTAATTTAATTAAGATACGTATAAGGATTTTTGGCGAGTCGAACCGAAAGCGATGAAATTTTTTTTCCAATTATTTCGTAAACGTGTAAAATTCATAATAACAGCGTAAAAATACGGAATTACGGAGAGAAAAATCATATAAAAATTACAATGTTCAACAGCAGTCTGATAAAAAAGTGTTTTTTTAAGTTTTTTTGCAACACATTGAAATCAATATTTGAGTTTATTTTAATGTAATTTTTAATTATAATTCATTTAATGTGTTAATAGTACGTACAAAATCGTAATATGTTTACTATGCTGCTGGTTTATCGTAAACAAAGCATTTAAATTCTTTAATCTTCCTAGAGTTGTTTGTTTGGTAGTTTCGATGTCTATTGCGAATAAAAAAATTGGCGGGAAAATTTATTTGTGACTTTCCAAGTCCTCGATCAATGACCTTTAAGTTCATCAAAATATAGTCACACATATACTCAATATTTCAAAAATACTGTTTTCTCTTGCGAGTTGTGCAAAGTTGTTTAACGTACGCTAGTGTTTACACAATCTTCTAAGTTATTCCACAAAACAAGTGAATACATGTTACACATGTGTGTAAATCCGCTATGTAAATTAAGGAGTACAAGCTTGTCTGTATTACCTCCATACGGCTCCATTGATTTAATTAAAAAAAAATAACAATTGTGGTTGTACATTACAAGCTTCCAAAAAATTATAGGAATTAATCAGAAAGTTTTCTTGTTAATAATTCAATTTTACAAATACATAAATACCTACATAATACGTAAATGAAATGACATATTTTTTATGTATCATGTAAGGATTTAGGGGGATAGTACCTAGACTAGTAGGGTATTACTCGCAATGTTTCTACTACCATGCTACCACTTAAATGAATAAATGGTTTCGCAACTATTTGTAAGCTAGCAACTGCTACCATCGCCATCTAGCATAGATTAGAAATTTATAGTATATGTTTCTCTAAACTGTGGCCATCTAGCAGTTGCAGACGAAACTGAGATGTGTTTTGGACGCTTTGTGGTTATATCTATTGGGTTATATTATCCACTTTTTCTTAATAAAAAGGGAAGAATATTATTGTAAATTTTCCTGTACATGTAAATATGCTTAAATTTCGAATAAATACAATTGTCTTTAGTTTCCTTGTAATGGGTGAGAAAGGATAGTTGTGTTAAAGAAAATATATAACCTCATCAACACAACTGCAAACAGTATGTCTTCAAAGTAAGTTTTAAGATTAATTTTTGGTTAATATGATAAATGGACTTTATTCATTATTTTGCAGGTAAACAATGATGAGCGTGATTGCTGTGAACACTTTGAAATGATAAACAATAAGTCAAATTAGATGAGATCTTAAAAATAAATGAATAAATGTCACCAAAACAATTTACACTACTTGTTTTAATTTAAAGACGTTATTTATAATATAGAGGTGAGTTCATGGTTTTGATTGTTTTTTACATAAAATAAGTTTAGTTTTTAAGATACCATTCATATTAATATCTTTCGGTGCAATATGTCATGAAAAGGCATATTTATATTTTATACACTAGTTTATCAGTAAAAACAACTTCTTTTAAAAAAATAACTTTAATAATTGTGACTAAATACTATTCGTAAGGAACTAAAGATGTATGTGAATTATACAATGGTAAAGCTCTATCAACATTATCATTGTAAGTACGTTCTCCTCCATGAACATTTCTTCTTTCTAAGTTTAGCACACATTGGCATTTGTGATGATCAAATTGTTGATTGGTTGAACAGGGTACTTCATCCCTACACTGACATGCACAAATTTTGGGATTCCACAGTTTTTTGTCTGATTCTTTCAAACATTTTTGCCTCTCATCTTTGTTTGGACAAGAGCAAGAACAAGTCGCTGGATTAAACTTTCTGAAACCTTTACAGTCCTGCAACAAAATAAATATTAATAATTTAAAAGTAGTATAAATTAACATGCATAATACTTTTGGTTGAACTTTACAGCCACAGTGGCACTTTAGATGTTTTTCTTTCACCACTATTTCTTTGCTTACATATTTTAATCTATCTCCACCAGTATATTGACACTTATGAACCTAAAATGTAGATATTGTTTGTTGTTGGCACAGTTCACGAGAATTTTTTCATATTACCACAAAGTTTACAACTTCTGTCTCTGTTGGTTGACAAGAAAGAAGGGGGTGTCTACAGCAGCCGTCGCATTGTTCAATTCTTGTACATGAAGGAAGATAAACCACATTTGGATCATGAGACTCAATTAATTGAACTGTTTTAAGTTGTGGTTTACATGTAGCTGGTTTTGGTTTGATGGCAGCACCTTTGATTTTAAATTTGTATTAAATACTAATATATGTAATGTAGTCCATAAATCTGACTCTCTTAGAACGAGTCCCTTTGTATACTTACTTCTTTCTTCGTCGTCATAATCTGTTTCCCCAAATCTACCTATAAAAACAGTAAAAATATTAATTGTTTTTATTTTTATTGTAGATTTGTTTATGGACACGATGGAAAGGGAGAAAGAAACCAAAGAGGCTGATGATGCTCAAATATTTTTTGATTTTTTTGTTGATCTACTCGAAAATCACAGGGAAACTGCGGTTTATTATTTTTCAGAAAACGCTCTTTTGGATTGGTTTGGCCAAACTGTTAGGGGCGAAAAGGGTATCAGGGGTTTTTTTAGAACCACTATAGCAACTGTTACACATGAATTTAAAGATGTGACACCGGTATCTAAGATTGGCTACAGGGACAGTCATGTTGTACAATTACCAGTGTAAGTTTAAATATGTATTTTATTTTATTTGTTTGTTGTTAATTTTCATTTTCTCTGCAGTAAAAAATCTATAAGATGTGAGACATTAGTGCCAGGGATAACAGAGCTTTTATGTAACAGTGAAAAAACTCCCCCTAATAAACCACTCCAAAGAATAAATCATAATATTGAGGAAAAAGGGCAAGGGGACGGATTTCATGTGGAGCAAAGCCACTATCATCATAGTCCCCCAAAGAGGCTAAGGATGGAGCAGGGTCAAGGTGACGCTGAAGCATCAGTAGCTTCAATTAAATATTTGAGTACAAACGGTTATGTGGAGTTCCACAAAAAGTCCTCAAAAAAACTGCAAACAGAAACAAAGTGGAAACGGCCCTGTAAACTGGAAATTGCTTATTCCATAGATCCAGTGGAAAAGTATATAATTCATCTTGTGATTTATGAAGGGAATATGAAGTGTCGTAAAAATCTACTAAAAGATTTTGAAGCTTGTCATAGTAAAGACGTCACATGAAGTTATTTTAATTGATTAGTTTTTTTGTTGTTTGTACGTATATATTAAAAAATACGTACTAATATTGGCTTTTCTTGAATATAGTAAGATATATTTGTAGGTATATAAAGAGTTTCAGATAAATCAGGGGTAAAAATTTTTGAAATAAATCGTGTTTTCATTTTTTGAATGTATCGAAAATAGTTACCATTTTTTAGATTCATTTTAATATATTATAACAGTACAAATTTTCCAATCAACATTACATATTAATGAAAGAATTAATTAACAATTATCATTGTAATGTTATTCTGTCTATATGATGGTTATATGTAATGGGTTTAGTTAGCGCTCTTTTGTAAATATTGATAGTAATGATAAAGTGATAAAAGGTATGTTATATATGAATATTTTTGTTACCGTACTTGTAATTTTCTGTTTAGAATAGGAGAGTAATCTTGTAATTTTTAATCAAATCGTCAGTATTTCTATTTTATCGAAACATTATGTAGTGTCTGATTTAATTGTAGTGATTTAACTGTTTTGTGTTAACTAATTGAGAATAGAACCTGTCGATCTGATTTTTTGTTCCCTTGTGTTGTTTGTGCAATTACTATTTTTTTATGCTTCGATTTTTTAAATTGTGGAATATTTTTATATTTTTTTAAATATATAATTACATTTTAACTAATGGTTCTCTAAACAATTTCATTTTTATAGAAATATATTGAACTTAGGTTTTAGGTTTTAAAATCAGAAAACGGGTGGGTGGCTTAACATAAAATACATTTTATATATTCTCAAAACTTTTCTTT